CACAGTTTAGCCAGTAGAGATCCTTCTGTAAGTAGCACTACTCTGTCTGTTAACTATCTCCCATTCCCTCCTGCCCAATTTGGTTCTTTTACTTTGAGTGTGGTGTTTTTAACTCTTGAACTATATACTATTTGGACAACGAAATACTGACCCTGAGACATAGATGATGTGGTTATTGGTAGGCCTAATTTACCGCACTGTTTCTATTTCATTTCCCTTCCTGACCTCACCTGGCTCCTTAGGTTCAACCACACTCTCTCTGCCACTGTTTACTTCCTTCAAAGGAATAGATTTTTATTTTTCAATAGATTTTTACTTTTAAAAATGTTTATTTTATTTTTTTTAAAGATTTTATTTATTTATTTGAGAGAGAGAGAGAGCGAGAGAAACAGCATGAGAGGGGATAGGGTCAGAGGGAGAAGCAGGCTCCCCGCCGAGCCGGGAGCCCGATGTGGGACTCGATCCCAGGATTCCGGGATCATGACCTGAGCCGAAGGCAGTCGCTTAACCAACTGAGCCACCCAGGCGCCCTAAAAATGTTTATTTTTAACAGGAGGAAATCTAATTGAATTACATATATACAGGGAATCCATATAAAGATGAGAGATTCCCCATAGACTTTTATTTTATTTTTAAAATTCCATGACTTAAAAAAAATAATGTTTGGTAAAAAGGTATGTATAAATAAAAATATGACTTTTAATTCCACCACCCATGGTTAAATGTTGATGTGCATCCTTCTGCTTGTATAACTAATTTTTGAAAATTGGGATCGCATTAGAGGGGCGATGTTTTCTGTACTGCCTAGTCTCGAATTCTGGGGTGATCATCTACATGGCTGTATAATCTTTTTTTTTTTTTAAAGATCTTTTATTTATTTATTTGAGAGAGAGAATGAGAGAGACAGAGAGCACATGAGAGGGGGAAGGGTCAGAGGGAGAAGCAGACTCCCTGCCGAGCAGGGAGCCCGATGAGGGACTCGATCCCGGGACTCCAGGATCATGACCTGAGCCGAAGGCAGTCGCTCAACCAACTGAGCCACCCAGGCGCCCTATTATGGCTTTTTTAAATCAGCACAATTGACTTACTGACAGATTCACTTACACAAATATTTCTATGTGTCTACACTGTGCAGGGTTCGGTGCTATGTGATCTAAGTGATACAAGGTAAGTATAGCACTCCACTTTGAGAGAGTTACAATTGGATAAGAAAGCTAACTTATGACCAATCCTTATAATGGAACTCCAGTTATTAGTTTTTGTTTGTTTGTTTGTTTGTTTTTTAAAGATTTTATTTATTTATTTGAGAGAGAGCACATGAGAGGGAGGAGGGTCAGAGGGAGAAGCAGACTCCCTGCTGAGCAGGGAGCCCGATGCGGGACTCGATCCCGGGACTCCAGGATCATGACCTGAGCCGAAGGCAGTCGCTTAACCAACTGAGCCACCCAGGCGCCCCGACATGGCTGTATAATCTTGAGTGAATGACTCAAGCTCTCTGTGCTTCAATTTCCTCACCTCTAAAATGGGTTAATAACAGTACACCCTCAGGACTGATAGGAAGCATACATGAGTTATACACAGAGAGTACTTAAAAAGGTAGCAGGAACAGAGTAAATACTAAAAAAATGTTAATGAACTTCAGTATTTTTATTAGATGAATATTACATTGTAATCTGTCCTAAGAATATACTGTGGATATTTTCTCACGTTATTCATGACTAATACATGACTTTATTGCCTGACTCCAAACCCATTATATGACTGTACTATAATTTATTTAATCAATGTTTCATTGTTGGACATTTATTATTTTCAATGTTTTGTATAGTAATAAATAACCTGTAGTAAACATTCTTGGGTGTAAATTATTGGGCACATCTCTGATTATTTCCTAAGGCAAATTCCTAAAAGTAGAATGCCGAATCAGAGTATTAGCTCTTTATAGGCTTTTGCCAAAATGCCCTCCCGAAAAGTCATGTGAATGTGTGCTCCTAATGTATGAGACAGCTCATTTCCCCACAGCCTTCTCAGCACCGGATATTATGATGTAAAAAGCTTCTTGCCAGTCTGTAGTTTTCATAATCAGATGGTGGTCTGTAGTTTATAAAGCTCTCCTCTTCTGAGCTGTTCCTTTTCTTTAATCCCAAATCCCTTCAAATTGCTCCTCCTATTTCAACCTACAATGTCCTCCAATCGTAAATTTCTGCCTGTAACTATTCTTTTCTTTCATTTCTGATTTCTTCACACAATTTCCCTTCTACCCACTCGGGGGTAGATGACATATTCTGTTTTGTTACAGGTGTGCGTTATAAATCTGGTAGGTGGGTACCAGGGGAGGACAGGAACTTACCCTCTTTTCAGTGAGCTCAAGTCTAACCCAAGAGGTAGCCATCCCCAGATAGACTCTTCTACTTTATAAAGTAAAAATATCCCTGCTGCCTGAAATAGTCAAGAGTCTGAAAGCTGTGGAAGGGATTCTTACTCTTGACAGGAAGTTAGCCTACATAGCAGTGTTTAATTAGGAAAACAGAAACCACTCTAAGTACTTAAACACAGCAAAAATTTAAATCAGGGCATTGGTTGCACAGGTGATTAGAGAGCTCAAAAGCCAGGAAGACGGCGAGGCAACGCTGAGATTAGTAATCAAAAAGCCAGCACCATCCCTGGGCTCAAGGACAGAGGGAGGAGCAGGTGGGCTCAGCTGGAGGAACCTGGTGAGGAGCCACAGTGGGCCTGTCTGTCGGGAGCTGGACCACAGAGGTGATGCAGGTGTTTCTCAACACCTACAGATGGAATGGAAGAGGAGAAATACCTTGGCCTTTTTCTCTCCTTTCTTTCCTGTCTCCTTCCAGTGTCTTCCACTAGCAAATTCAATTAGAAGCTAGTAGACACAGATGTTTGTGGAATTATATATAGCCTGTGGTCAACCCCACTTTTGTGCAGAGCAGAGTAAAGTAAAGGTGAGGAATGGATTTGAGGACAAATAGGCCAAGGCCTGGCACAATGACATCTGGGGGCCCTTCCAAGTTCACAGACAATAGGGCAAAGTACAAAGCATGCTGCCCTAGAGAGGCAGGCAATTCCGGGCTGGAATTCTGGCTCTGTCACTTACTAGCTCTGAGACATTGGCCAGGTCACTTAACTCTTCCGAGCCTCAGTTTTCTCATTTATGAAAGGGGGGAAGAAAACCATATGTCACTGGGTCACTGTGAAGATTAAATGAAATAAGGGCTATAAAATAATAGTAAGATTTCCACAATAATTGGTTTCCTTTCACCCCAAAATTTATGACTTTAAGACAAAGGACAATGGGCATTTGGTCACATCATTAAGCTTCTCTGTATTTTGGGGATGCCTGGGGGGCTCAGGCAGTTAAGTGTCTGCCTTTGGCTCAGGTCATGATCCCAGGGTCCTGGGATCGAGCCCCGCATCCGGCTCCCTGCTCAGCGGGGAGCCTGCTTCTCCCTCTCCCGCTTTCTCTCTCTCAAATAAATAAAATCTTAAAAAAAAAAAAAAAGCTTCTCTGTATTTTGAAAGAAGGAAAAGGGGACAGGAATCTTTCCTTTTGGAAACTCTGTCTAGGGTGGGGTAGGTGATAAGTTGCCCAACAATGATATTGGGAGATGATGTAAGAAACACTGAAAATGCCCTACAGGATCGATTTATTCATTCCACCAACATTTGTGGGTAGTCACTGTTTTCTGGAAATGATTTAGACATGGTCCCTGCCCTCAAGGAGATGGTAACAGATGGATAAAGAGATACATTGCAATGCATGATGCTATGGGAATGTTCACAGAGGAGAGAGCAATGGGATATCTTTGCCTAGAGAAATGGGAGAAAGCTTCACTGAGGAAATGACATCTGAGTCGTATTTTGAAGGGTCAGCAGGAGCTTTGAAGTGTAAGCAGGAGCATAGAAGCAGATGCAAATCATAGCCAGAAAAGGGCACAGAATGTGTGGGGAACACTGAGCCATTCACATGGGTGGGGTCTTGAGGGGTTCATAGTTAAGGTGGTGGTAAGAACGACTGGCAGATGCTGCTAGCTTTAGAAAAGAAAGTCTGCCTGAAGGGCCTGGCATAAGAAGCTAATGACTTTAGCCTGTGGGAAATGAGAAGCCAGCAGTAAACTCGGGAGCAGTCGGGGTGCCTGGGTGGCTCAGTTGGTTAAACGTCTGCCTTCGGCTCAGGTCATGATCTCAGGGTCCTGGGATCGAGCCCCAATCAGGCTCCCTGCTAAGCAGGGAGTCGGCCTCTCCCTCTGCCCCTCTACCCGTCCCTCCCCACTCTCTGCTCTCTCTCAAATAAATAAATAAAATCTTAAAAAAAAAATAAGGAGTAACCCAGCATCTATAACCTAGAGTTGTATAAAGTGACACATCTTTCCAGACTCTCTCATGGCCTCAGCCAAAGGGCTGATGCATGCAGTTACATCAATCAGGGGCCATGTGGACATCTCATAAGACATTAGAAAGTATGAATCAGAAAAATGAGCACAGGGGTTTTCCCTTAAGATTAAATTCAGAATGGAAAAACTCATTAACTTCTCCTGCAGATGCTGAAGGGCTCAAGGTAAATATTTAAAATGTTCTCCCTCTCCCTTCCACAAAGCCAAAAACATCAGAGGTGTGAGGATGATGCTTGTGGCTATGAGACAGGATTTCAAGGATTCTGATGAAACGTCTGCTGGCCTGGATCTGTCTGAAGCTGAAAGGGACTTTGTGTTACTCTAACGGTAAGGAAAATACAAGATGAGGGTAATTTTGCCCCTGATGCTTTCAGAGCCCTTTCACATACAGTATCTCATTTAAGCCCCGCGACCACTGTGTGAGGCCCACAGGGCCCAGAGTACAAGCCCATCTGAGAGATGAGGAAACGGAGGTCCTAGGGTTTCATACCTTCCCTAGGGTCTGAGAAGGTGTAGCCAAACCGAAGCTGCAACTGGATTTCCAGACACGCAGGCCAGCGCCTTCCCCAAACCCAGGACTGCTCTGCCTACCTCTCTCCTTCCGTACGCCAGGATGGCTTTTTTGAGGTCCTGAAGTGTGCGCAGTTCAAGACCCGGCCTCTTCCTGTGGCCTTTGGGGCGCTGGGGGCCTTGTCTCCTCTCTTCCGGTGTCCATGCTGATAAGGCTAAACCTTCTGAGTAGAGGATCAGGGCCCCCTTCCTAGTACTGAATGTTTTGGGGAGAAAGAGGCTCCCGGTGTGCGGGTTGGCACTGCCCTCCTCCTTCGGTTTGCTGACCAGGACATAATCTTCTGGAGACTTCCAGTTCAAGTAATCCTGCAACGGAAAGAAACCACCTCAATCCATGGCCCCTTGATAGCAACAGACCTGGTGCAAGGTGTTTGACAGTTTTTTAGTGACCGATTTTCTGTGAATTGTTTTCATGCTGTCACGGGACACACGCACTCTTCGGAGCAACTGATTTTGTTCTCCACATCTCGGAATCAGTAGAACCTCAGGCAGGGTTCGGTTTTACCCCATACAACTTTCAGCAGAGCCATTCATGCCTGGAGGCTTCAATAGGCTAGTTAAAATGTCCTGGTATGCAAGTAAGTAGTCGTAAGTATCAAGGGCAGCAAATAACTTTGAAATTATGGACTAGATGGCAGTTTAAATAGGGGAAAACCATTCATTCCAACCCTCACTTCAGCTGTACACAGGAAGGCTTTCTGTGCATATCCCAGATGCTATGTAACATTACCTAATTTGGCTATTTCGGACCCTATAAAGTAGTTGCATATCTTCTAAGTAAGTAAATGCCATTGGCCACAGAGGTCCTTTGAAACTTTATAGGTCTTTTAATATAGCAAAGGTCAAATATCACGACAAGCTACCATGACAATGGAAATCTCTGTGTGATCCAAACATTTTCAAAGAACCCCACTGGGTTTCTTATTCCTGGGGGGATTCAGTGAAATAAAATTCCAGTACAAGGGAATTTTGCCACCTCTTTAAAATCTTCTAAAATGAGATTTAAAAAAAAATTATTTTTATTTTTTGCCTATGTTAAGTATGAGTCCTCTGGGTTGAATTCCAGAAAGTTCAAGGAAGCCATTGAAATGGTATGAACATACACAGTGTTTCAACCACAGAGCAAAACTTCTAAAAACCAAATAGCCATCAACTTGCCTAGATCCCAGGTGGAAATTCTGGTCTTGAACCAAACCATCTGAATTCTAAACAGTCTGGCATCTCCTTCAGTCTAAAGCAAATGAGGCTGTAAGTCATTGTGCGAGGGGAAGGAGGAGGGTTCCAGGGGCAGTATCAATGTGCAAGCAAACTTCCTTATTTTCTTGAGTTTTACCAAGGAGGAGGGAACGTCTACCAGCGACCCCCACCCCCCAACCTCACTAACAAACCAAACCAAGACAAGCACGGCTCAGCCCCAAAATATTGTCCCAAAATATTCAGCTCTAAGAGCATTCTCCTCCCACCCCCAAAATATTCAGCTCTAAGACTCACCTCTGGTTCAAAATAGACTTCTAGCTTCTGTTTATTCTGGACCAACTTCCCATGTCCCCGGCTCAGGAGAGAGAGCGTGAACATGTTTCCCTTCTGACCACCCTTCTCAAGGGCAGTTCATCTTGGTTTTGAAGGCTGAAAACTGGTCACACCTCAAGATTTCCTGAGTTCAGCAGTGAGCCCAAGAAGACCACAAACACTGGGCCTTTTATTAAATACATTTTTCCTTCGTACAGCAGCTTCTTAATAACAACCAGCCACACAGTTTAGACAGTGTGTGTCTTTGTCGGGAGAAAAAATAAACCGCAAACCCAGACTCCTCAAGCTCTGGATTGTCTACTCTCTGGGCAACCTCTCTCTCTTCTTCGCCTGCGCCCTTGTTGTCCCTTGGTCCTGTTGCTCTGTTACGAGGCCGTGTGCATCTACAGATCTGGGCCACTGCACCATCCTTCTCATTGTGAGCGGAAGGTTGTTTCCTGGTTGCTATGGCAGCACAGGGAAGTGAAGTCTCTTAAACCAGCCTAGGCAAGGCAGAGACTGCTGAGGGCAGTGTTCACACATTGGGGGGGTCAAATGGACGTTTAAGGGACCAGGCTCAGATTTCAAGTCCTGATCTCAGGAGCAGGGGGTGATATTGGGGTATTTTTTCTGTCATAGTACTCATCTTGCTTTTAGAAAGTGTCTTCCCCTTTCTCTTGATATGCTAGCCTTTCACTGTCAACTAACCATTAGCAGACTCAGAGGAGTTGTCTAGGTCACCTAAAGCAACCTGTGACGTTTTCCTTGGCCAAGCTCCAGCATCTCCTCAACTGGACATGAGGCCTTTTATGGTAGCTGCTGCTTTGCATGGGTGAGCGCAGATACTGGGAATCTCCAGGTCCTTTGCATATCTCACTTGGGCAACTCCCAATTTCCAGAGGGGGGGTACTTGGAAGATGTGGGGGGGGGTGACATTTTGGTTGTCACAATGACTGGGGACCTCTACTGGCATTTAGCAAGCAGGGTCCTGGGATGCTAAATGGTCTGCAGTGTGCAGGACTGTCCTGCATGATGCAGAATTTTCCCACTCCACATACCATTAGCACCCACTTTGAGAAACATGGCTATAGCCTGGGCTGCTTGGTTCTCCTTGATGCTGACACTATGAGGGCAGGACGGGGGGAAAGAGAGTCAGGAAACCAAAGGACCCTTTTGCTGGTGATCTAGAACCCTGCTTTGACCTAGAAAACCAACCTGCCCTGTCATCGTCAGCTGAACCTCCATGGCAGCCTTGTGAGAGTGCCCCCTGCAGACTTTCCGGAAGAAGTACAACAGGCTACAGGCCCAGTTACCTTTCAGATCTCCCTCCGTGGTGGTGACTTTCCCAGAAGGCAGGTTCAAGTCTCAGGAGGAAGAAATACAGGTCATGCTATATAATTAGATTTGGTTTATCATGGAAAATTAAGGCATCGAATGCAGAGGTTCAAAACTGAATTTAGTCAAAACCACAGTGGGTGCCATTTCAGTACTCATTAGAATGACTATTGCTAAAAAACAAAACAAAACAAAATACCAAGTGTTAGTGAGGACACGAAGAAATTAGGACCCTTGTGCACCATTGCTGGGAATGTGAAACAGTGCAGCCACCGTGGAAAACGGTGTGACAGTTCCTCAAAAAATGAATACCGTATGATCCAGCAATTCCACTTCTGGGTATATAATCCAAAAGAAATGAAAGCAAGGATTCAAATAGATTTTTTTTT